AGAACAACTTGGGAAATGACACTGGAAAAAGAACTGATGAGGGGATGCCTTGGATACTGAGAAAAGGTCAAGGCCATTTCAATCATGAGAGAAAGAGAATTTGGGTGGAAATTCTTTTGCCAATAGCAAGCCTGGGAAAAACTAAGAAGTGAATAAAAATTGTCCTTAAATCCATCCCCCTTTCCTTTTACTCTTTTAAAGACACCCCCCCCCCCAGTTTTTCAAACAGAATTCTGTTAGACTATCTGATAGGATAATTTATGTTAAAGTATCAATAACAACTTGAATCTACTTCCCAGGTGGACTTTTTATATTCTTTTTAAAAGGCCACATCACTTTTTTTAAGGGCTTTTTGTTTAATTAAAAAAAAAATTATCTCTACATGACATTTCAGGAGCTGAAATAGGTACATTTTAAGGGCTTGAGGAAGCTGTGTTCTTATCTTCAAAAGCATTAAAGTTGAGGAAAGTGCTTCCTCTGGGCCTGCCTAAGCCCCATCCAGACATTTACAGGTGTCTGCATCACAACTCCGGGCACTCACTGCTGCTGCCCATGGAGACATGTCCAGAAAACCAAGGAAGAAGAAGCGTGTATGATGCAAGGGTGGAGAAAGTGTGGTTACATAGCAGTGGCTGATTTTCAGTGACCTTGGCCCATGCTGTGTTACATGAATCAGATGTTTGATGTGTTTTAAATATCTTCTTTAGATTTTGCAAATTAGCCAGATGGTATTATAACTGTCACTCTGCTCACTTTAAAATAAATCACTGTCACTTTTCCAAAAACAAGAGCATATCTTATGCAATCAGAATTCCATGGGGTGTGTCCAGAGACAAGATACCAGACTTTCCCTGGCATTTTTATATATAGTGTTGTTGTGTATCATAGAGTTGGAATGGACCCATAACTGACTCTCCAGTTGGTTTTCAGAGGTGGTTAATTCCATGGGAGGAGACTTTGCATCCTTTTTCCTTGGAGGACCTAGTGGTCTCGAACTGCTTGCCTTTGGGATCGTAGCAGCTTCTTACCACTAGGCCATCAGAAAGATAGATATGGATATGTATGTTACCACTACTCATTGAGTCAGAGCCAACTCATAGTTGATCCTCCAGGATGATTTCTGAGGCTATAAATCACATAGGAGGTGACAACCCACTTTCCCACTTTTCTCCCACAGAGCAGCTAGTAGATTCAAACCATCTGCCTTTGGGTTGGCAGCATCACAGTTTCAGGCCACCAGAAATAAATAAATAAACATATATATATAAAGAGAGACACACAGAGACACAGAGAGATAGTTGCCAGTGTGTATAATCTCAAGATAAATGTCTCCAATTTGAACCTGCTATGTCCATAGCTCCTTAAGAGGATTCAGCCACACAGGGTTTCTGAGAATCTGGCTAGAAACCATCAGTGCATATGATCATGGCAAAGCAAGAAGATCAGTAGTCCCTGTGCATTAGAAAGAGGAAGTAAAGGCTTCATATTTGCCTGCACAGCTTGGCAAGCATATTCATTCTCATTCTCTCTCTCTCATTTAAAAAAGCAAAATTGCTGCATAAGCTACCAAGCAATCTCATTAGTGGATGAAGTTTGTGTATGGCATCTTCTAGAGTCAATGTTGCTTTTTAAGAAATGATACCACTTAAGTGAGTTCCAAGATGGACACTAAAAAGTAGCATATACAGGAGAGAAACTAAAAAAGTGGGAAAGTGTAGGTGCTGGAAGCACTGTGAGAGCTTACTGTTGCACCAACAAGACAATATGATAGAAGTAGAAGCTGAAACTCAAATTATATTGACTTATTTCCCTTCTATCAAACTTTAGTAAACAGCTCCCAAGTTGTGCTTTCTGTACTAAACACAGTGCTTTAAAAAATAGAAATAATGAAGCTAAGTACATAAACCTGCACATTCATTTTTCCTGAAAAGCTGTCTAGAGTAGCAGACACGGGCAGGTCCCAGAAAGAAGCATCATGAGCTGGGGTAGAGAAAGATGGCTAGTTGAGCACTTAGGTTATCACATACATATATATTCTATATACAGTACAAATTATATATAGTAACAAACAAAATCCACTATTACTTTTTCATAATATAGTATAATAACTCAGCATATTAAGAAAGTATGATGAAAATTTAAACTATAAATATCTATTCAAAAATACTGTCTGTTGGCTTTGGGTAAAAACACACACACCAAAACAAACAAACAAACAAACAAAAAAACACGTTACCATCCTTCATTCCACATTCAAGTAAATGATACTACTTTAAGTCAACAATCTTAAGTCTTTAAGTCAATCATAGGACCCAACGAATCCTCACAGCCAGATCATTGAGATCAGAAGATAAAATTGACAAAGAACCTGCAACAAAAGTTTATTCTGTTGTGCCCTCCCCCCGAAAAAAAATCCAGAGACAGAGAGGGTGAGGATAAGTTTAGCCTGTTTATCACATGTCTGCATTCAGCTCAAGTAATTTCACACCCATTTCTTATTTGCTGTAAATGTATACAGTGTGCACTCCATGAAAACTGACACCAACGTTGGCAAAATACAAGCCAGCTTCCTTTCCGACATGTCAAATAGATTTATTTTTTAAAAAATAAATAAAAATGCATGTATTTTGGAGCATCCAGCGCCAGCAAGCCTTTGCCTTATTTTAAGATCTCACCCGCAGCTGTGAAAAGGCTGCTTTCACCACGTAAAGATTACTGGGCCCATCAGTCAGCACGTCTCGCGGGTTTCACAGCCCCAGATTATAGGAGACAATGCATCTAATAGGAAGAGCCAGCTGGGGATGGTGGTGGATACCTTCACCGAAGAGTTGCTTCCCCAGGAAAGGCATGCAAGTCTTGGGTTAACTGCAAACAATCACTTACTCTGTTACAGCGGCGCTGCCGAAGGAATTATCCTGAAGGCTGAAACAGAAACAAGAAAACATCAGCCAAGCGTGGCCGGGGAGCCGTCTCCCTGGTCGCTCTCCGGGAGTCAGAGCACACACACAAACATGGCATTGCAAGGCGCTTCTCCGGGCTCGCCAGGCGCGCTCGCTCTACCTTGGGCTGCAGTCTGCACATGCTCGTAACGCACCCCCAGCGGGGCCCGGCCGCGCGGCGAACCACAAAGCCCGGCA